TAAAAAATAAAAAAAAATAAAAAATAAAAAAATATATAAAAAATAAATTTTTAAAAAGGAAAATAAAAAAAAAAAAAAAAAAAAAAAAAAAAAAAAATAAAAAAAATAAAAATTTTTATTTAACCACAAAATATCTCTCAGCCTAAAACAGGATTCCAACCTGCGCACTCTGCATCGAATTACGCAGTGCTTTCGCCACACAGGCAGACCAAGATGGGCGCCTAGCCGAGAAAAGGCTCTGTTTCCTAATCCTTGGAGCACGAGGCCAGTGATAAGTTATTTTATGAAATCTTGTCAAATGGAGGGAACTTTAAAAATTTTTTTACGATGATGTAGGTAGGTAGTTTACTGATCCTTGAAGCACATCTTACATTTTACCTAAAAATTTGTCTAATGTACTTTAAATTCTTCCCAAGTTTTATTAATAATAAATGAATCCAATTTATATAAAGCAAAAAAATATTCGTATTACTTTCAAAACCACTTTTTATAAAACATGATTGTATTATATTCCTGTCAACCATGGACTTGCTTCATACAATTTTCTCAGCCTTTTCAAAATCAATTGGATGGTTAAAATCTCTCACGTGAATAAAAAGAGCATTAGAATCTTGTCCAGTTCTAATGCTGTATTTATGTTGTTTTAACCTAAGTTCAAGACTTTTACCAGTTTGACCGTAATAAACTTTATCATATATTTTACAAGGATTCTTATAGACACACCCGTCAACATTTTGGGAGGAAATTTTTATCAAAAGTTTTTTAACTGTATAAAGATTTTTAAATTCAACTTTGATATTAATATTCTTAAGTAGAGAAGGCATATCAACCAAGTTTTCATGGTAAGGGAGAACCAACATATTTTTAGTTCAATAAAGTTGGTTGGTCCTTTTCGAATTGTAAAAAGCATTTCTAGCTATTTTAAAGGCTTTATCAGTTAAGTTTCTTGGGTATTTTAGATCATAAGCTATTTCATAAATATTGGAAATTTCTTCATTTGTGAACTCTGGACTACAAGTACGTAGAGCTCTCAAAAATATTTTTGAGAATACTGAGAATAATAGTGTACATAGGAACAGTTATTTATTGGCTTTCTGTAAATTTTAAATTTAAAATAATTTTTACCCTAAATAATTATAACTTCTAGGAAGGACAATGAGTTATATTTTTTCAAGAAGAGAGTAACATCGCACATACTCACTTAGGGGTGTTGTTGCTACCGAGGTTGTTGATGTTCATGTCTGCCATGGAGGACTGGAGGTGCCAAAGCTTCTCCTCGAGAGAGGAGAGTCGCTCCTGGATCCTCGCCTCCGCCACCTCCCGCGTCAAGAGGCGACGTTTGGCCAAGAACGCGTTGCTGATGTTGGCTAACACCGCTTGCTCTGTCGACTGTCAGCCAAGAGGAGCATGGGGGTTGGACAATAGAAAACCAGAGTGCCAGGGAGGGAAGAGGTTAGGGAAAACAGGGTGAAAGGAAGTCAGAGTGCCAGAGAGAAAGGCAGAACAGTGTAGGAGAAAGAGAGAGGGAAGATAGTGTGGGAAAATAAAAGTCAAATGGAAAATACAGTGGGTTGAAAAATAAGGAAAGGGAGGTGAAGAGGGGAATGGGAATAGTATAGAGGGGTAATTAAGAGAAAGATAAAACAATAGTTAGTATTTTTTGCACGAGTTCTGAGAAAGGATTATTAATAATGAAGAATATTGATTTAATTACTATTACCAATATTATATGAAACAAGCACCAAACTCATATGGTTCACAGAATGAAGAGGTGGTTTAAGTTGTTACGTTAAGGTTTAGTGGAGTTGAGGGTTAGGCAATGTATAAGATTAATATAGTTGGTACAGCAGGTTAGTGCTGTTAAAGTCATACAGGAAGCATGCGTCATAGGCAGTTAGCGTGAATCAGGACACTGAAGATGGCAAAAAGTGAATTCTACATTCTCTAATAAACAGGGCAGTCTATTAATAAATGGGGAACTGTTAGAGCTACCTGGTAGTCCTCGCAGAGAGGCACCGAGCGAAGTTCCATATGTTAACCATGTCAGAGTCTTGTGTGGCTAATTCATAAACAATAATATAATTTCCCACGTCAGACAGTGAAGGGAAGAAGATAACCAGGAGCCTAACTGATGGAAAGCAATTTATTTTCCTCTAATTCAGACCAAAACTGTTGACAACATTTTCAAAGTCACTGACAGAATGCTGAAAATCCGAAAAAGGGATATTCATGTAGGAGGTTGGTAGATCAACAGAAGACTGAGCAGTGAGTCTGCATGTCCATTGTCCTGAAAGTCGATGTATCCATATATGGAATTAGTGTAAAGAAAGGGGAGGGAATTAATAGATATAGCTAGAGATCGAATATGGAGTTTAAAGGGGCAAAATAATGTAGATTAAATGAATAAATATTAATAACATCCGTGATTGCTCTGTACTCATAAAGACCGTGGAATTGAAGTAAATAATGGAGTCACGGGGAGTAGAGTTGATTCTGCAAA